TGGCGGAAGCAGTGTCTGCAACCCAGAGTGTGGCCCAATGGTTCTGTCCATTCACTGCACACAGAGCAAGTGGCTTCAGGTGAGAGGGTGAGCCCCCACCTGCCTGGGGACATGAGTGGGCTGAACAAACTCTGCTCTCCTCGGTGTCCCCAAAGAAATGCCGCTCCCCCGCATCCTCCAAAATACAGTAAATGCCGAATCGTCGCGGCACGCTGGGCAGTGCCATGAGCACTTGCGTGCTTTCTCTAATCTTCCCATTGGCCCTGCAAACGTAGCAACAGGACCCCTTTTGGAAAGAGGGACTGGGAAGCAGGTAGCTTGGCTAAGCCCACATGGCTCAGGAGTGGTTCTAACATGTGGGTCTATGCAAGCCAGATGGACAGTCTACTGCCCTCAGTCCAGGGCCCTGGTGTAGACAGGTGGGAGGCTGACCTCTCTGCGGTGCTGTGTGCCGGTTGCTGTCCCTGTACACCTGCAAGGTGCTTTCGTGCTCTGAGCATCTCCCTCTAGAATCGCCAACAGGCACCAAGAGGAACTTCTGGATGTTTCTTCTAACACATCCAGGGAGTCCAATTTTCCTCGAGCCTTTTCCCAAGCTTGCTAGCAGGCCATAGCTGAGCTTCTGAGAGCAGAGTTAAACCCTCGGAGTAATCACCATCTGAGACAGGCAAACACATGTAACTGCATCCCCCACCTAGTTCTCTGAGTGCAGGGAGATGTTCAGGGGTTTTGTCTTACTGACATTATTTTAATCACACGGCCATGTAGAGACCCACACGCGCCATGCCCACATGCCCAGGAGAGAGGAAGAAAATAAACTGCTCGGGAGGACATGGTTTTGTCTCCTTTGAAAACCTCCAGACTGCCCTTGACGTGCTTCATCGTGGTTCCAGGATGCCTGCTGTCCTTGCCTGGGGACCCCACGGGTTGCCAGTGGGGCTCAGGGTGTCCCTCGGCAAATAGAGTTATTTCTAGCACCTGTCAAGCCAAAGAACATCTAGGATTCATTGAGCTAAAATTCACCTAACGTTAAATTCACCATTTTAACCGTTGCCAGTTGCCCAGTAAAGTGGCTTCAGCACATTCACCACTGTGTGATTGGAGAGCATTCTCATCACCTCAGAGAGAGTCAGCTTTCGCACTGCCCTGCTCACCCTGCGTCAGTTCTGTTTTGGAGAGAGAATAGGGCTTGTTTGAGTGTAAAGAGCAAAGCTACAGAGTCTTCAAGAGAGAAGTGCGATCGAAGGGGGACCTGGGGCACCTGCCTGCACTTCCCGTGGAAAGGAGAGCCCCGCCCTGGCAGTCCAGGTGGCGCGGCCCTCCGGGCAGCTGGGCACACACACACCTGCAGTTGCTTGTTTGTTCCTAACAGAACTCCCATTTCCTGAGCACCTACTGTGTGCCCTACATGCACAGCCCCTGAGAAAATCAGACCTGACCTTGAGCACAGTCCTGTGGAAGGACACTGTGGCTTCCTCCTTCACCACAGGAGGTGACACAGATGGAGTCTGTTGGAGTGGCAGCCTCCGCGGGTCCTACCCCGTCGCAGCCTCTATGGAAAATAAACTCTGCTCACTCGCTACCATGCTGTTGTGGCTCAGAGAACACAGGCTAAAACCACCACAAGTTCCTGATTCTTTGCCTGACTTGTTGCTTAAAGACGACACAAACAGGCCAGCCGCCCCGGGTGCCTGTCTTTTCCAAAGTCCCCAGAGCACCCGCCACTTGCGGACCCCGAATACGCAGCTGTCCCCATCGGCAGGGGCTGAGGTTCCTTCCTCCTGAAGCAGAGAAATCCACACACCAGAATCCCCAGGCAGACCTTGCCCCTAAGCCCAGGTCAGGGCCATCCAGGAACTGGACCCCCGAGGCAGGTCCCCGACCAGGAGGACAAAGAGCGGTACTCACAGGCAGCTGGGCGCTGCTTGCTCTCTGTCCTCTCTCTCTTCTCCTCGGTGACGGTTAAAAGGCACAGAGGATGCGAATGCCATTTATGTAGACAAGTGTCCGCCTCCCCGAAGCCAATCAGAGCAGCTCGTTCTGCATTATTTACCCTGCAGCATCTCCTGCTCTCCCAGCGCCTCCTGCCCCAGGATGTGAGCACTGATCTGAGCCCTGCAGGACTGAGGGGCACAGGAGAGAGACTGAGGGAAACTGGACCTCCTGCTCAGCCACTGTGTGGGACACAGGAGGGCCAGTGCTCCTGGGAGTCTCCTGCCAGCTCTGAGAAACCCCAGGCTCCAGCCCAGGGTACAGAAAGGACTGGCCTGGCACATGAGAGATATTCACTTTGCTCAGGGCCTGCTCCTGACACGAGGTGGGGGGAACAGGAAGCTCAGGGTGCTGGGCCGAGTACCCCAGAGGAGAGGGTGAAGCTGGAGCAGATGAAAATTTTTTTTAAGAAAGATTTTTGCTGTAGGGCGCGTGTGCTCGCCAGAGAGACAGAAAGCATGAAGTCACCCCCGGGGGAATGGCCACACTGCCATTCCTTCTCCTCCATTCTTAGGACTTGGGGCACACTCGCACACGCACCCCGCATGAATTTTAAGCTGCTGAGTCTGGGATTCGAACTGCCATCGATTATGTGTGAGTCCAGCAATATAACCACTATGCCATCTGCTGGTCTCCAGGTGAGCATTTGAACCCAGGTGGATCTCATTCAAAGTCCTGTTCTGTTGCCCTTAACCTAACAGCATTGAAAACAGGTCTGGTCTCTCTCTCTCTCCCACCTTACTGGTCAGCCACGAGGAAGAGCCCCACCCCTCAGTGCAATCCAAGGGGCACTGCTTCTCATTTAAGGTGCAAGGAATCGTGTGAAACTAGGCCAGGGGCCTGGGACCAGCCCCATGGCCTTGAGGTTAAGGGAGACAGATCTGCACGGGCAACATTAGTTTGAATTCTGAGCCCGGTGGCATGAAAACCATGCTGGACACCTGTGTGTGCCCAACATACCAACCAGATGGAGGAATGGAGAAGGGACTGTGGTATGAGCACACCCCACTGTGGGGTGCTTTCTCCCTCTCTCTCTGTCTCTCTCTGACAGCACACACGCCTTCTGGAAAGGAAAAGAAAAGGGACCTAGGCTATGTAGACAAGCAAGTTTGGAGAAGAGCTTCCACTCAGACAGGAAGCAGCATGCAGGCTCCTCTGCCCTGACCATGCATGCGTACCACACATGCTTGTAGAACACATGTGTGCACATGCACAAACTAAACACATGCATGCACACACACATACACACAATGTACAAATACTCATGCATGCATACATGTATACACATGCTTACACACACATGCACGCACACACACTAATGTATGCACAGCACATGCCACAGCACATGCCAGTCTCTGGCATTAAGTGGCATCTCTTCAAGGAGCAACCATGTGTAGGCAGCACAGGCTCCAGGAAGGGGACAGAGGCCAGGCTTCTATGAGGTCAGGGGCCGTTGGGGATCGGGGGACACCCGATAGGCATCTTCCTCCTTAGTCACAGGAGGCAGAGAGACCAGGCCCCAGCCACAAGGGCAAGATGAGCTCACAGGGGCCACGGTGCTGGGAGGTCAGCTAGAGGATGGCTTACGGCCCCAAGCGCTGCAAGATCAGTGGCCACCGCAGGGGCCAGGCAGAGCCTGCCCAGGAAGGCCAGCTCCATGGGAAGGAAGAGCTTTGAGCTCAAATGACATTTCCCAAGCTGAAACATCTGTCACCAGGGCAGGGGCCACCCTGCCCCACCCTCAGTGATGAGTGCACAGAGCCCTGGAGCAAGGACCCTGGTTGGGGAGGATGGCCAGGAGCTTGGGGTGCTGAGTGGGGTGAAGGATACACCCCATGTGGGGGCTACACACTGGAGATGCAGGTACTGTGAGAGACTGGGCTCCCAGGCACAGACCTCTGGGGGAACTGAAAAAAGCAAGTGAAACCAGAGCAATGTCAGCGTATGGGTTCAGCTGCAGGCATTTTCATACAGGACCACCCTGTCCCTTGCAATGACTTTCTGTGGTTCTCGTCATCGTCACTCCCATGTCATTCATAACAGAGGCCCAGGGAGGTTAGGCAACCTGCCTAAGGTCACACAGCTGACCAGTGCTCAGCGAGCGTCCCAGTTCTCCTTACCATGAGACCGTCGTGTGGCAGGATGGGGGCAGCCCCGGGAAGAGTAAATGGAGAGAGAAATCTACTGCAGCCACCCATGATGAGCTCCCAGGTAGAAGACCCAGGAGGCACGGCAGCACGAAATCCTGCTTGGACAGTTGCAGTACTGAGAAGTTGGAAGCAGAGCACAGCTGCATCTACGGCATATTTAAAACTCATAGCAACATGGGTCAGCTGATGGTGTAGTGGTCATGTTGCTGGACTCCCACATGGCAGACTGTGGTTCGAGTCCCGGATCTGGTGGCTTGATACCCAGGATGTGCGTGTGTGTGTGTGTGCCCACGATCCCAGGAGAAGATTGGAGGAGAAGGGATTCTGGTGTGGCCATTCCCCTTGGAGGATGATTTTTTCACTTTCCCTCTGTCTCTGTCTCTCTTTCTGGTGAGCACAAGTGCTCTAAGACAAAAATCCTCTTTTAAAAAACCCAAAAACTTCACAGCAGCTCTTGGTTGGAGGTAAAGGGAGGTGCAGTGGGCACGAGTGGAGCGAGTGGGCCAACCTGAGATTTATTCAAAGGCAGAAACGTAAAGACATGAAATGCAAGGCAAAGATGCAGAACAGAGCATGAGGACTGCAGGCTCCTGATTCCGGGCTTGGACTTGCCGTCGTCCCTCTGCTGTGACTCTACCCAGCTGTGACAATAATGACAAGTTAGAGTTCATACGAGGGATTGTGCAACAGGAGCGAGTCCAACAACAGATGCACGAGGTTTGCACGAGGAAACTTGGAAAAGTGTAGGGAGAGGCGTAAAGAAGACCCAAGCAGACGAACAAATACCCACGGTCTGCTTTTGCGCTGCTAACTGGAATAGCTGAGCCTGGTGACTTTGTAGAGAGGACAGAAGCTTACCTGTAAATGCACGACTCTGGTGGCTGGGAAGTCCAAGATCCTAGGCCTACAAGGTGGCTGAGGGAAGCACAGAGGAGGGTGGGTACATGCAGAGGGAGAGAGAGCTCCTGCCTGATTTCTTGTAGAGCAACCTGCTCTCGCGAGAGCTCATCCTCTCACAAGCGCGAGAACGCATTCATTGGGGGTTGTGAAACCTCCATCTTCTCATGAGACTGTTGCCTCCAGGAGTCAATCACCATGAGCCAGTAAGCACCTATGAGCCTCCTGGGACACCATGTTCCTGGGACATCAAGAAGGAAGGAAGTTTTCACTGAATGCCTTCACGGTACAGACAGTTCTGAGACACAGTCACCATAGCATCCATGCATGCCCAGGAACACCCAATACTGTGACTATTTCAGCTTTTCTCAAACTGATGAACAGTTGTTTTTTTAAAGGTTTTTTGTTTGTTTGTTTGTTTTATTGTCATAGGGCACATACACTTGCTGGAGAGAGACAGAGAGAGTCAGAGAGAGGGAAAGTGAGAAATCACCCTCCAGGGGGATGGCCATGCTTCAATCCCTTCACCTCCACTCTGTTTCTGGGATTTGGGACACACGCACACATGCTCATGGCATGATTTTCAATCTACTGGATCTGGGATTTGAAAGTGTGGAAGTCCAGTGATTAATCACCACGCCATCTGTTGGCCCTGATGAACAGCTTTAATACCATTCTAATCAAAACTCCAACATAGCTCAAAAGCAAAATAGGAATATTGGGAATAGTACACTCCCAAGAAAAAAGACTATTACAGAGCGTCTTGCTTTACAGGTATCAAGACAGGTAATGCTGTAAAAATTAATGTCTGACGCGGGAATAGACTTCTGACTAATTAAACAGAATAGACAGGCCAGGAAAAAAAAAAACCATAAAACTATGGAAAATTGACATATGTGGCATTACAGATCAATAGAGAAAGAACAGATTAAAAGTGATGTTTGGGGCCAGCAGGTGGCATGGTGGTTAATGTGCTGTATTCCCATATGACCGACCACAGTTCAAATCCTGGACCTGATGGCTTGGTTTCTCTCTCTCTTTCTCTCTCTCTCTCTCTCACTCCCTGACCCTCTCTGGCAAGTGCACATGCCCTATAGCAAAAATAAAATAATGATAAATAAAAATAATTCTTAAAAAAAAGTGATGTTAGAGGGCCAGCAAGTGGTGTGGTGGTAGGTTGCTGGACTCTCACATGGCCAACCATGGTTCAAGTCCCAGACCTGGAAGCTTGCTTTCTGTCTCTCTCTCTAGTCTCTCTGGTGACTGCACATGCCCTATAGCAAATATTTAAAAAATAATAATGATAGTAAATTGTGAGGGTATGCAGCCTAGATACGGGAGGCTGTTATCAGTACGCCTCACTAATTACTCACTAAAACAGGCTGACACATACCTTAATGCCAGGGGCTCTGTGGGTCTTATCTGACCTGGGGCATGGGAAACATCCTGACCCTGGTTAGGTCATGTGATGCCTGTTCTGTATAATGTTTATGGCTTACACACTATCCTCTTTGATGCATACTCAGACATAAGTAAACTGGCTTGACCTATGATGCATAATAGGATCACGCATGACAGTAACAAGGTCGAAAAACGTCTACACTAAAGTCCTTATCTCTAACTGTAGAACTTCAACCATATCCTTGAAAGCCTGCAAACTGTTCACTGTGCCTAGTAAAATGTCTAAATAAAGACGCTCAGCATGACTGAGCAGCACAGCTTGTCTGTGTTCACACGCATCTCTGCTTCTGCGTCTTTCTTCCTTTCCTTTCTCAAGCTTTCTTCTTTCACAGGTCCAAGCCCCAGGGGCAGATGCTGACAGTATTACCATCCAGAGAGATGTTACCCTTAAGCTTGTCAGCAGACGCTGGCAGTAAATAAAATGAAATAAATAAGAATTTTTTTTTAGAGAGAGATTTTTGTTATAGGGCACATGTGCTCGCTGGAGAGTCAGAGAGACAGAAAGAGAAAAATCACCTCCCAGGGGGATGGCCACGCCAAAGTCTCTTCTCTTTCATTCTCCTTTTGTAATTTTGGGCATGCACACACATGTGCCCGGTGTGAGTTTTATGCTGCTGGGTCCAGCCATTTCTGAGAGTCCAGCAACGTAACCATTACACCATATGCTGGTCCCAAAATTAAATCAGTAATTCTTTAAAAAAATTTTTAAAAAGGTGATGTTAGAACAACAGGTGGCTCACTTGCAAACACATGGACTGGAATGTTTTTCTCAGTCTATATCTAAAAATGAATTCCTGATGGATTAACTCCTTTACTATGAAAGGTAAATTTTTTTATTTTTGGAGAGGTTTTTGCTATAGGGAGCTGGACTCACCAGACAGAGAGAGACAGAGAGACAGAAAGCGAGAAATCACCCCCCAGGGGGGATGACCATGCCGCAATCCCTTCTCCTCCATTCTCCCCTCGGGATCCTGGGCATGCACACACATGCACCCGGCATGAGACTTAAACCATCGGGTCTGGGACTTGAACCGTGGTCAACTACATGGGAGTCCAGCGACATAGCCATTATACTAACTGCTGCTCCCGAAAGGTAAATTTTTCAATAAAATGAAAAAACATATTGCTATGACTTTGGCGTTTTCTTTTCTTCTTTCTTTTTTGGAGAGGTTTCCACTATAGGGTGCGTGCACTCACCAGAAAGACAGAGAGAGACAGAGAGAGAAAGCGAGAAATCACCCCCAAGGTGGGATGGCCACGCCACAACCCCTTCTCCTCCATTCTCCTCTCGGGATCTTGGGCACGCACGCACACACACACCTGACATGAATTTAAGTCTGTAAACCCAATTAGATGTCCTGGCCATATGGTGCTTAATGACAGGACTTGGTTCTGAGAAATGTACATTAGGCGAGTTCAGTGTCGTGTGAACATTGCAGCGTGGATTTACATGAACCTGGCACAGCTCAGTCTACCATACAGGACCTCTGGCACACACGCTGTCCATTGTTGACCAGAATACTTACACAGTGCATGACTATCTCACCACGTTTTACAATTTGGAGTTCGTGTGTGTGTGTGTGTGTGTGTGTGTGTGCACGTGCGCATGCTAGAGGACACGTGCACTTACCACCACAAAGAGAGACAGAGAGAGGAGGGGAGGAGAAAGCACCCCCATGGGATGGTCACACCAAAATCCCTTCTCCTCCAACTCTCTCTCTCCTCTCATGACTTTGGCCACACCTGCCTAGCATGTGTCTCAAGCACCACAACTAGGACTCAAGCTGTGCTGTTGGTCATGTGGGATCTGGCTCCTTGAACCACCAAGTCATGAAGCTGACCCTATTTAGCAGTTTTTAAATGTCTGGAAGCTATGGTTAGGTTTTCAGCATCATCTACCTCTTCCTGGCTTCAAATGTCATAATCATCCCTGTGAGGACACACTCGCTGTGAAAGCCCCATTGACTGTGTCTGTCCTGCACTTCCTTCCAAATAAGCTGAGGGCAAGGCTCCATGCTGGAGTGTTTTCCATTTGTACCTCGGATGGGAACCTGACTTGCTGAGATGGTTCTGCAATCCAAGGGCATGAACCCAGGGCAGAGGCCCTTCTGGATAGCAGGTCATTCAAGGCTCAGCCTGCTCTGCTGACAGCATCTCAGGACTGGGAGCAATGGGACCCCTAAGGCTGTGTTGGGGGAGACTTGCCTAGGAGACAGTACCAGTTTTAGTTGGCCTGTGATGGTCGCCGTGCCCTTGTGTCACCCTGGAAGCCCAGAGTCTCGCACCCTGTACGTCCACCTCCACCTCTGACACTCCCACCTCCCTCCTGCAGATTCTCCTCCTATCCACAGTTCTCCTCATCTTCTAGATCCTGCTCCCTGATCTCCCAGGCCTCCAATGAACACTTCATCTGGTGTCCCATGTAGACCTAGCCAGTACTTAGAAATGCACTTCCCCAAAATGTCAGAGCTGAGACTGACAGACTGCAAAGTAAGAAGAGCTTAAGTTCTATTGTCCTCTCCACTGGCTGTGTGACCACGCGACTTCCTCTTCTGTCTTAGTTTCTCATTTGTGAAATGAGGAGATGATTAGAGATAAAGAATATGCATTGATTTCTTTCTTTCTTTTTCTTAATTGCCAGGAGGTCCATGTGCTACCAGAGAGAGAAAAAGAGACAGAGAACGAGAGAGAGAGAGGAAGCACTCCCCATAGGGTGTGATTACACAACAATCAATCCCTCCTCCTTAATTTCTCACCCCATTGGGATTTAGGGCATGCATGCACATGTTACTGGCATACTTTTCAAGCCACTGGGTCTGGAACTTGAACCATGTGGTCATCCAGCTCCCTTAACCACTGGGCTGCAGGGCTGGCCTAAAAGTGCAGCCCTTTCTAGACAGAGCCTAGCACAAACAGACCTTCAGGAGGTACTGTTTTAACTCATGCCTGATAAAATGCAATGACCTCTTCTCAAGAATTCTCATTTGATGAGAACTGGAATCAGCCTGCCAAGTTGGCAGTAAAATCTTTTAGTGCTCAAATCTCACTGTGTAGGTAGAGGTCCATTTACCTGAGTAGCTGACAAAAAAAAAAAAAGAGAGCCCTTCACAGAGCCCCAGAGATAAAGGGAAGGAAAGAGCTCATGTTCATTAATCTCCCATGTGGTGGCCATCTTTCATAATCACGGGATTTAATTTTCACACACATGTGATAAGTGAGATACTATTTTTTTCCTTTCATGAGTGAGAGAAATAAGGACAGAAAGAGAGCGAGAAATAGCACCTCACAATCCACCACGTGTCCCAGATCGTGGGCACATGCACACCTGGTGTGTTCAGGGAAGTCTCCAGATGTGAACCTGGAACCTTCCAATGTAGGCCAGCCTTGCAGAGCATCGCCTCACCACTGCACCATGGTCTGACCCCAAGGTCGATACTATTAAAACCCCCATTTTACTGAGAAAGATTCAGAAGCTCAGGGAATAAAGTGCCAAGTCCTATGTTGGGGTAGGTGGTTGAAAAGAACCTTGCCTGGTCTGCATTTGCTACTGAGCCACAGCTATGAAACCATTCCTGCACCTCATTTAATCCCAGTTACAAGTGTGAGGAACCAAGTAGACAAGACCCACAGACCTGTCCACGCTGCTAGCCAACAGAAGAAGAGAAAACAGAAGGCTAACACAGATGCCTGTTCCCCCAGCAAGTTAATCTGTAAGCAAACATTTCTCATGTGGGACCAGAGAGTCAAAGTACACA